ACAGGCGCTGCCTAGCCTTTTTGGTCTGGACCTGAATGTGGGCAGACCATGTCAGGTCTGAGGAGATGTGGACACCAAGATACTTGAAGGACTGCACCCTCTCCACTGGAGCTCCATTGATGATAATCCCACCCCATTTAGAGCTTTCTTGGATTTCTTTGAATATTCCTTGAAGAAAAACAGAAAAACAAAACAGCTCTTATAACCTTTTTGAGATGTCAGTCATCAAAACGAAATTAAGCACGAGCCTACAAACTTAAATTGCACTCACTTGGTAAAAATGGTAAATGGCCTGTATTTGTAAAGCGCTTTACATGGTCCCTAACGACCCCAAAGCGCTTTACACATTCAGTCATCCACACATTCACACACTGCATCACGTGGTTGTTCAGTAAAGCGATTCCTTTTATGGTCACGTCTGTTTTGTTTTGTTCCCGCCTCACCCTGTTAAACTACCTTTAAGGCCACGTGTGAGTCAGTGAGGCCGAAGCTGCTTTGTAGTTGAGCCTTAAACTTAGCTACCATTGCTAGCTATAGGTGTCCACCTATGCTTGTTTTCACTGTAAAGGAATTAATACTGGATAAGAGTCTGTCTTCTCCCAGCCAGGATGCTCCTCATTGCTTTGTTGTGCAACCTGTTGCTCACTGCCGTGGGCCATCAGGAGGAAAGCGAGTGGGTCGACCCTTACAACATGATCATGTATGATGCTACGACAAAAGTGATGAGAAAGCCTACTGAGGTTGGGAAATTTTTATTCTGAGTATTGTGAAGATGTTGTGTTGTTCAGCTCAGACAGCTTAGTTTGTATGTGTGTTTGCAACGCAGCCAGCAAGCTGTGACAATCAGGCCACTGAAAGACGAGAGTACAATCAGGACTCCAGCAAGACGGAGCCAACGCCCTGCAACAAGCAAGTGGAGGACTTAGATAGACAGGTTGGTGTTTAGAGGTTTTAAGTAGGAAAAACTATTTTCAGATTGTCTAATTATACGCCTCCAGGCTTATCGCTTTGTTCTAACTGGTACACAAAACATGAACGTCAACTGTGTCTAAAAAGGCCATTTAAGTAAGGTGAACTCAATGTCATGTACAAGAAACCGGTTTTGCATGTTTTGAGCTGTAGTCTGTTAGAACAGTGTTTCCCAACCCTTTAGTGCCACGTCACATAGAAAAATCACAACACCAAATAAAAATGTCACAAAAGTTTATTTCTTACAATATATATTTAAAATCTACTCTTAATTTACATAGTGTGAAACCTGTGCCTGTTTAGTTGAACACAAAGCTGATATTCTTGCAGGAGTTGAAGGAAGACACACGAAGATCTTCTTCAACAGTCCTGAGTCTGTGTTTTGGTTTTTTCTTGTCTTGATAGCCATCATGTTTATAAAACCCATAGATGGGTTGTGGAGGAAGGAAGAAGAACTGAAATAACTTTGTTTGCCAGAAAGGGAAAATAGTCTGTGTTCTTGTTTTGAAGTCTTGGGTGTTTTGTCTAGAAATGGCATTTACGTTTACTTGGAACCAGTAGCGGTTTTAGATACGGGCGACACGGGCGGTTGC